TGGCTGAAGTCGGACACTTAACCGACTGCGCCACCCAGGCGCCCCTTAACTGACCTTTTGGGTCAGTCCTTTGATCCTGGCTTGTCATGGATCCACTGCTGGGTATAATATACACAAACGCACTAAAGAACAGACTCCATGGCTCAGGGAGCCAACTTCTTTGGAAAGTAACTGAGCTATCAAAACAAACCATTAGGTTTCACCCCCCCACCCCCCCGGTCTCATCATAAGGAGAGGAAAAAGGCACAACAAATAATTATTTAAATGAAATAAAACCTTACTCTATTTCTTTTTTTTAAATAATTTTTAAAATGTTTTTATTTTATTTGAAAAAAAAATTTTTTTTCAACGTTTTTTATTTATTTTTGGGACAGAGAGAGACAGAGCATGAACGGGGGAGGGGCAGAGAGAGAGGGAGACACAGAATCGGAAACAGGCTCCAGGCTCCGAGCCATCAGCCCAGAGCCTGACGCGGGGCTCGAACTCACGGACCGCGAGATCGTGACCTGGCTGAAGTCGGACGCTTAACCGACTGCGCCACCCAGGCGCCCCTACAATGTTTTTATTTTATTTTTGAGAGAGAGAGAGAGACAGTGTGAGCAGGGAAGGGGCAGAGAGAGAGAGAGGGAGACACAGAATCTGAAGCAGGCTCTAGGCTCTGAGCTGTTAGCACAGAGCCTGACGTGGGGCTCAAACTCACAAGCTGTGAGATTATGACCTGAGCTGAAGTTTGACACTTAATCGATTGAACCACCCAGGTGCCCCCACCTTACTCTATCTCTTCAAGAATATTCTATTTGTTTATTTATTTTGACAGAGAGAAAGAGAGAGAGAAAACACATGTGCACGAGCAGGGGAGGAGTAGGGAGAGAGGGAGAGAGAGAATCCCAAGCAGGCTCTGAGCTGTCAGCACAGAACCTGACATGGGGCTTGATTCCCATGAACCGTGAGATCATGACCTAAGCGGAAACCAAGAGTCAGACGCCCAACCAACTGAGCTACCCAAGCGCCCAAAGAATATTCTTTGAGAATAGTTCTGGGGATGTTGTTTTTATAACTAAGGAAAACAAAACAAGCTTTATTAAATTATATCTATTTCCGGGCCATTAACACAAGTTATATAAAATGAGACCTTGGCTAAAAAATTCTGCAACTGTTTCCTTTGTAGATTATTAACTCAGGCCACCTAGGAGTTTCTTTTCTCTCTTAGTGAATAAGTATTCCTATTTGAAGTAGAAAATAAGCATTTCTGGGAACTCAGCATAAGCAAATGACTAGCTTCTTACAAGTCCCTGAAGTGACACTGTGTCCGTCTCTGCCAGTAGCACGTGCCCAGCCAGACAGGCCATGACAACTGTTGCTGCACAGGTTCAAGTAGATTTATTTTCTTTTTTCACACTTCCTGCATTTTTGCTACAGATCACTTTACTGATCACTAACAACCACCTGACCTGCAGGGAAGAATGTTATGACTGTACATAAGAGCTTCAATAAAATGCTCAGAAATACAAGGATATCTGGTCAGTAAGGCAAAGGCAGCTAAAAAGTTAAGTAGAAAGTCATTCTAATATGACTAAGGTTTTTGTTCAAATGATTTGTTTGTCCAACGTTCATATCTGTACCTGTAGACTTTAAGGCACAGATTTTTTCTTTCATGAAAAGGAGACAAAATGTACACTTTAGTATCTTTTAACCCATAGCATCATTTAAAAATCGAGATTGACATTGGAGTACCACACATTCCCTATCAGAATAGGATTCCTGCCCTGATTATTTTCTTCCAATTATTAAACAAGGAATATAACCTCATAACAGACTCATTAAAAGTACTAGTCCATATTCATTTTAGTCAATATGGTTTTTGAATGACTACAGCCATAAAGATATTCTTACGGGTTAAATAATATGTATAGTTTATTTTAGGATAAATTCTCTGTTCTGAAAAAAGTAAGCATTTCTTTTTAGAAGAGTGAATGGTTTCTTCTTTTTCATGCAGCTCCTATAATCTGAAAAACAGAACTGGAGACTTAAATGGATAGTAGCAATCTCTCAGTGATCATTCAGTAGCAGAAAACACAATTGCTGTCTAATTATAAACTGAAAAGCACAATATTGATAAACCAAATAGCTTACTTTATATAAAAAGAGCACTTTTGCTTTCCAGAAGCTTGTATACTTATGATGGCCTCAGTTTTCCATTAGTAAAAGATTTCATTTCTTCATAATAAGTGATTTGGGCAAAATCACAACATGATCTAAATACTTTTTAATAATAATTATTATCCCAAGGCATTAAATTTTTTTCTCCATTTCCCCATTTGCTTTATACTTGTAAATATATAATGTTTCTATTTTTCATTTCATATCTGTCTTAAAACTTTTATGACAACCATAATAACTTGGAATTATTTCTGATTGGAAGTATTCGTCTATGCACCCTTACATAACATTCTTTCCATCAGAGATCATCTGTTCCCAATCAACCACTTCGTGGGGATGACCCCAAAATCTTCATGAGTATCTTGCCAAAGTAAGAGTATTGTACATATTTAGCTGTTGCCTAAGACTCAACATATCTAAAACTAAACTCATGGTGTTTTCATACAAACTAGTTTCCTTCCAATTTTCCAGTCTATTTAGGTAATGAGATTCTCTTCGTTACATTGGGCCCATTCATCAAATATTTATCAATCATTTATTATATGTTCAGTATTTTACTTTGTGTTCAGTATGTGATGATGAACAAATAAACACTGACCTTGAGCTTATGGAGCTTTAAGAAATAAGCACAATGAAGACCTCATTCAAAACGGAAAGAAGTACAACAGGAGAAAAGTGTTGAATACTGTGGAAAAGTAACTTACAGTTACTAACACACAAAGAACTACAAATCACTAGGAACAAGGCCAATGACAAAGAGAAGTCTGTGGAACATGTGAAACATTCAGGACACAGGAACTCACTCTTAATGAGACAAATATAAATTAAACTTTTATGAGATGCCATGTACATCATGTTAGCAAACATTTAAAGAGTTGTTTAAACAAGACACTGTGTTGGGAATGTGAAGAGACAGTCATTCGCGTACTGATGGTGGTATAAATTGATAACGTATTTATGGAAACCTGTCAATATCTATACAAAATCGTAAATGCTAAAATAATAACTGGACATTTATTGAGTGGTTATGTGCTAGACATTGCTACAAGCACTTCACATGTACCAACTCTCTTAGCCTCACTGCAATTTTAAGAGGGGGTGCTATCATACCCATTTTGCAAATGAGGAAACTGAGGCACAGAAAGGTGAAATCATTTGCCCAAGTGACACAGCTGGCAGGTGGTAGAGCCCAGACTCTTAAGCACTATCCTGAATCTCCATGTACCATTTAATCTAGCAATTCTTCCAGGAATTTAGCCTACAGATATGTTTTATGTACAAGATTATTAATTGTTTAAAAAAAAAAAAGGACTGGAAATAATCTAACCACCAATGGGGACTGACTAAAGACCATATAGCCAGATAATGGGATATTGTCCAGCTGTGAAAAAGAATGAGGACGTAATTTATGTACCAATTTGGGTAGGGGGTGTGGGATAAAGGAAGGATCTCTGGAGGAGCTGGAGTTCAGGAGGTATGGACATGGAGAAGAACACTCTAGGCTGAGCAAACGGCATGTGCAAAGGCTCTGGGGAATGGGAAAAACCTGGCACCTCTGAGGAACTGAGAGATCCTTGTTGCTGGAGTGTAGTGAATGAAGGAGGGGAGAGTGAGACAAGATTTGGCTGGACAGACAAGCAAATAGGACTGTGCTGGGTTTTGCAGGGCATGTTAAAATTGTTTGAATGTTTCTTAAAAAAGAAGCAGGAGATCTGCTTCTCATTAAGATGAGGAAAACTGCAAAGAATGTTGCTCCCACCATATGTGGGGAAAAGCTGCAAAAACTAAAAAATATAATAATTTTTTCTGAGTCCCTTAGAGACTGAATTCCTCACCTGAGCTGACCCTGAAGTGAACTGAATTCCAAAGGGGTATGAGCCCCTCTGAGAAAAGA